ATGAGCTTCCCAGCCTGGTGCCAAGGACAGCAGCTGTGAGAGGGAGCCATGGGCACCATGCCTTGGCTTTTAGGCACAGGGAGAACAATGAGGGACAACAGCTATGGACAGCAGGGACCATCACCCTCCGGGAAACTGCTCTGGAGCCAGCCAAAGCAAGAAAGAGGCTTCCCAAAATGCCAAGCAGTAACCTGCAGGGAAGGAGCTGCTCTTCGGTCAGATACATGCTATTTTAGACCTTCCTCAATGACTGACTGCGAATTCTGTTTCTTGCTCTGAAAAAAGGAAACACATCTTTTGTTTGCTTGACCCTGAAAGGCATAGGAAGTTGAAGACTTTATTTATTCAACCCTAAGACATGGGAACTTACAGACCATTGTCACTTCCCAAAGAGCTTTTGGTTTTATTTTCCTCCTCAGCCTGTGTGGGTTCTGTTTGCCTTACAGATTTTTCATAGACAGTTTGCTACCAGCCTGGGACATCTGTGACTTGCTTGCACATGGCTGGCAGTTGACAGGAGGTTTTTTGTAGCTGCAATGCAAATAATTATGCTGCTTGATGGCAGAAATCACTCCAGTTTTGATCAAAAAGCCTTACCACTAGATTTGTTTTCCACCTTTTTAATTAGAATGTGTATTATTTCAGAGCACTTTTGAAGTCTGTTACCTCAGTATGATGATGGATGGCAAGAAGGAAAGCTGATGGAACTGCTCACGAATCAGAAATTGGCTAACACAACAGAGCACATGGACTCTGCTGAAGTCAGCACTCCATTCCATTTCTGCCTTCGGGAGATTATTTTGCTGTTGGATTTCATGACAAAAAGCAACCCTTAGGAGAAGAGGGCTCCTTAAGAAGGTTAAGGAGGGTCAGGTTATTGAGGGTCACACAAACAGCTATCTCAAAGGCAGACTGAAGACAAGCCCCACCGGGCTTCATCAGACTAAGGACCTACCCAGAATATTTATAAAAAATCCAAAACTCTCTCTGTCATGGCTGTTAATTCCAAGAAAATGAGCCTTAGATTTCACCAGGGGCTTTCTCATCAGGTCTCTCACTTTTGTTCTCACCTAGAGCGCAGACACCAATCCCCAGTTTAAAGAAAGTGAATGATGGAAAAACTTTCACATATAGGGAACTGTTTTGCACAGGGATCCCAAGAAGAAAAAAGGCCTTTTTAGTCTCTGTGTTGCTGCTAAGGAGAGTACACACCTGTACATACACTTAGAGCTGCTCCTACCAAGAGCAAGTGCAAGCTGTGAGAGTCCCTCACCTAATCCCAGGCAGAACTGCATTCCTGAAAGGGCTTCTTGGGCCAGACACTGAAGTGGCTCTCTGGCCCTGCCTGTCCTCACTCGTGTGTGCTGCACAGAGCAGCAGTCCTGCTGGGCTGTGCTGGGCTGCAGAGCTGCAGGCAGGCTGCACACACAGAAAGCTTGTGCTCAGAGTGGCTCAGCTACACTCTTCTCCATAGGTTACTTGGATCCAAGGATCCATGTTGCAACACGCTGCAGTTAAATAAATAGAGGGCTAATGGCAGATGGTTTCACTTAAACTTCAAGAAAGGCACCGCCTATATGTCAATTTGGAATTGGTGTAATGAGCCAACAACATTCTGAATTAAAATAAAAGCAAATTTAGGAATGAAACCTACTGGAGACTTAACTGGTCTCAAGTGCATAGTTAGATTTCTAAAATAATAGCTGCAATCCAGCATAACAAACATGACTTGCTTGAAAACAAAAGCCTGAGTTTAACTGTAGATTGCAGTTCGTTTTCATTCCCATGAGAAACTGCAAGATATTTCTTCTTGGAGTAACTTCTCAGGAAGGCACACCAATGGTGCCTCCAAAACCACAGAGAGTGGGACTAGGACTCCCCAGTTGTGCCTTTTTCCTTCCAGGATTACCAGTGCTGAGGCCCTTAGGTACCATCAGGCAGATTTTCTGTGAGTACTGCACGTGCTCCCTGGGCAGAGGCAGGTCAGAACGGGGCATGGCTGGCTGCAGGGGCCAAGGGCAGAGCTGCACCATGGGACAGCAGCCAGCAGGGACATGGCACAAGGGCAAAGCACTGCTAGAGCATCTGGGGAGGCAGAAAAGGAAGAGCTGCCAGCAAGCACTGACTGTGAACTGGGGGATGGCCTAGCAAGCTTGGAAAGGGGATATGACCAGGGAGGAAGAAGGAAAAGGGAGTAGGAGGCGGAGGATTACCATGTAACAATGCATAACAAGTTCCTGTACTTAACAAAAATTAAATTTACACATATTTAACATATCTTAACATACTAAACATATTTAAATAGGCAAATATGTTTCTGTGCACCTGGACAGTGAGGATCTGGTTCTATCCTAATGCTCTCTGAGGGGTGTGGGAGATTCAGGCTGACTGTGAGAAGGAGCACATGGCACATTACAAGGTAAGGGCTGTTTTTACTCTTTTCCAGCATAGAGCAACTGAATACTTGAAAGCAAGTTTTTATCTGGAAAATTAATAACATACTGCTATTGCCTTGTACAAGATCTCCTTTTTAACTTCAATCTTACTGACTGCACACACGTGCATGTGCACATCAATTACAAGATTGTCTCTTGACATTTGTCACTACCTCACAGCACAAGGACTGCCACCTTCCTCCCAGAAAAACTCTTCAGGCTGTAACCTTGACTCTGCTTTGTACACTTGTGAAAACTGCCAGATTAGTCTTGCAGAGCCATGTAGGACAGCAGTGGACAACTCATTCCATTCTGTACTCATTGTCCATACCTGTTCTCTGTCCCTGCAGCCAGTGGTGGGAATGGCTCAAGCCAGCTAAAGGCAGTCTCTAGTGGGCCTCAGAAGGCACCAGAACAATCTAAGTGTAACCAGAAAAGGATGACTGTCTGCTGGGAAAAGACTGTCCAAGTAGTTCAAAGGGCTGGTTCTCAACTGCCCTGTCAAGTATTTAATCTTTGGAAACAGTCTCATGGGTAAACTTTAGTACACAATGCAAGTGATCACAAGCAAGTGATGAAGTTCTGAAAAAACTTCAAAACAAAGAGCCCTTCATTTGTATTCCTGTCAGCTCCTCTGGCAGGGTTGTGGCAGTAAAAAAGAAGGGCAAGGAAGTGGCAGTAGAAAAGGTTTCCCTTCTTGCACAGAGATCTGGCCGAGGCACAAGGAAACAGAGGACAAGTTCTTACACTGAAAGTTTTGCCAATTTCTCCAAAGGAGACTCGTCCTTTTCCAGCAGCCAACTCTCTGCAGGTGCACAAAGAATTAAGGTGGGCTTAAAAGAACAGCAGACAGCTGGGAGGAAAGCTCTGCTGTCAGCTAACTCCCAGATGCTTGTGCAGATGAACTCCAGCCCCCACAGAGGCAGAAAAGCGTGGAGAAGCAATTTTCTCAAAGGACAGAAATGGGTTTTTCTCCAGAGAGAACATTTTAGGGAATCATTTCCTATGGTTATCAATAGTCAAACTGAAAATCAAGCCAAGTTACCTACTGGCTCTTGTTTGTCTTGTAACTTTTTTCCCAACACCTGGCTGGGTGTCACAGAGGAATCCATGCTTGATGCTGTTGTTTACTTAATGCTATTCTTGTGTCTCATCTGTTTCGACATCTCTGCCCAAATCCCTGGACATTTTTTTTATTTCCTGGATTATGCTGATGTTCCAAAGAAAAAATCCCGAAGAACTGATGAAAATATAATTTCACAATGTTTCACTATTTATGGATAAGATTTGTCACTGGATTCTGATGGGTATTTTCCAAATTATATTTACTCCAGCAAATGAAAAGTTATTTAAAGTAAAAACAGGACTCGGTAAAATGTTAAGAAGAAATAATTTGTAATTTAGAAATAGTGTTTGTACTTCAGTGATAAAGTGCCCACTTGCATGTGGGCAGGTCAGCCAGAAAAGGATTTTTGTAACAGACATAAAAAGGGAGTTTCAGGCAGATAAATGCCAAAAATAATTTTGATATATCTAATAAAAATTCCCCTAGGATAGCTATACAGATTATCACACTCGGCTGTACTGCATGGGAAAGTGCAATTATTAAAATGCTAAAAGCCTGAACTGATTCTTTTTTTCTTAGTTTATGGAAATTCGCATCAGCAGATAATGTTTTCAGCATGCTGGGATTTAACAATAACATTTGGGCTTATGATTCACATGTACTGTAAAAGACAGATGTTTTAAAAAAGCATTATGTGCACGGTTGTTCAGAAAGTAAAGTTTACACTGCTGCAGGGTTCTCAATGCCTTTGATGAGTGTGGGCAGTGATCCTGTGTCCCAAGCATGTCCCACCCTGGCAATTCCTCACCATCTGAATTCATGATATATTTGTGCAGGTCATGTCCTGTCTCTCGTGTGGGACTGAAATGCTGACCCAGAACATTTCTGTGCACTAATAAGCCCGTGCCCCAGTGCAAAGCTGTTTTCTCTGCTGTCCTGCAGCACCGTAACATGATGATTATTAATCCTGACCAGGCAGTGCTGAGAGGTCCCACTCACACGGAGTGTTGTATAACAGCGTGGTAAACAGCTGAGGAGGGCCAGGGAAGGCAGTCAGCATCCTAATAAAACAGCAAGGCCAAGGAATTTGCCCTGCTAGGCAAGCGTAGGAGGAACCCAAACGAGGAGATGAGGACAGTCTCCATGGGCTCTGCGAGCCACCGAGTTAGAGTTTAAATCCCATTCATGTAACCCTTAATCAGCTGGGTACAAATCACCAGGACTGGATGGCACCCTCCCCGTCCTGGAAGGAGCCACAATGCACAACTGCTGGCCAAGTCCCCAGCTCTCCTCAAAGTCTGGGTGACCAGGCATGGGAGATCTGCCAGTGCTCAGCTCCAGCGGGGACCCTGGCAACCAAACCCCAGTAATGATCAGTTTGACTTCTTTTGCAAAGCTGTAATGACAGACATTTGGCCTAAGTTTGCTTTTCATGTATGAGTCGGTCACATCTCTTTGAAACTGTTCTCTTACCGTTCCCTTACTTCTTTTGCACTTACCATTGATGTTTACAGCTGGCAGCACTATAGACATCTTTGGTCTCCTGGTCTTGTTATGTGTGGTGGCTGGCAGTAGCAGGTGGTCCTGGAAAACAGCAGAAAAGATGTGTTAAATCTACTCTCAAAGCAGAGAGCTGGGAAAATGACTTTCCTTTCTCTCTTACTGGCATTCCACACTGTACTGTTTACAACAGCTCAGAAAATTCATATTGTTGAGGGAGTCTTCCAAAAGTCACAGCAATTGCTCATGCTGTGTAACCAAGAAGAAATCCCTATTGCATGCAGCAAATATGAAAAAGCCTTGATCATGTGGAAAGAGATGCAAACTACTATTAAGCCCTCATTCAACAGAGTGCTTATGTATATGATTAAAGCAATTTAACTTGACTTCAATGATATTTAAACATATGTTTAAGGACCTTGCTGAATTGAAGCTTTTACTTGCACAGCTGTTTACTTTCTATGTAAGTCATCTTGCTCTGCGAAGCTCTACACCACATGCCTTGTGCAGCAGGCCTGCACTGCTCAGAGCTGGACTGGGGTGTGAAACACGAGCTCTGCTGACAACACCTCCCAGGGAAGCTGGACGGCGAAGCTGCGCTTTAGTATCTGATCTTTCCTGGGCGCTGCTGCCTGGCTCTGACAGTGGGAGCTGCCTCTGCAGGACACAGACCTGCCCTGGATACAGACCTGGCCTGCAGGGAGAAGCACAGCCCCTGTCCAGGGCTCTTGTGCCGTTGCTGAACTCAAGCTGCTCAACTTGCAGCCTGGAAAAATATGCTTCTTCCCTTATCAATGGAACTTAAAAGCTGTGGTCCAGGCATCTCTCATATTATTAAGCCAGTTTGATGGTCTCCTTTCATGCTTTCCCATGCTTTTCCCATACAAACATCTCATACTTTTGGGCAAGGTTATCTTTTTGGCAAACTGAATTTGACTTCCTTCAGGATACGTTAATTTATTAATGTCAGGGTAACTGTAATTTTGCCATTGAAAAATATAAACATTACAGTGTTATATGCAAGATTTGGGGAACTGAGTTACACACAAAGTTAGGTGTCAAATATGTCAAGACATTCTGTAGATACATTGCAGAAATATCACTTTCTTTCTCTTTTTTTCCCATCAAAAATTTCCCTCCCCCAAAACACTAAATGACTGACCATGAGAAGAAAACATTACTTAAATAAATGTCTGCAAAAAACATCTTGGTAACCAAAATTATAAAACCACTCTGGTATAATTCTCAGATCCCGTATGTAATTCCCATTTCACTTTTGAACCGCTTAAGATTAAGAAAACATTCACTAAGACAATGAACCTTACATGAAAACTCTTCTTGAAATCCAGTGTTCCCAAAGGAACAGGCCTAAGATAAGATGTCCATTAAATTACATTTTGTAACAATGCCCTTGCCACAATTTGATGACTATTTTTAGCAGACCTTAAAAAATGCTTATACTGTTTGGTTTTTTCCTTTTTCAATGCTTCTGAGTGTCCATCACTACCTACCAAACCACAGCTACTGCACTGATGATCACCTGAGAGTCATTACAAGTAGCAGCTGCTTTTTGCTAACCTATCTGAAGACTGGTGCATTAATCTATGCTGCCTTATAACGGCACCTTTATTTACTGTATGTATACATTGTATTAAGAGCTACCACAAGGATTTTACAGTGTTTTGGACTTGCTGCACAACCTCCCAGTGATTCAACAGCAACTCTGGAGAAAACAGGCAAACAGAAAGCTCTAAACCCAGACTGCCACCAGGAGCTAATGTGCAAGATGCACCCATTATCTGGAAGCTGCCCATCTTCAAAGAGACATTTTATAAATCTGGAATTGGTGAAATCTATCCATCTCTTGAATCATCTTTATCTTTCATATGCATTTTGCATCAGTGCAAACTTGCAAAGTTACCTAACTACCCTCATTCTTCACTGAAGTCAAAGGGTATGCTGTAGAATATCAGATATTCTGACCACAGTTAGCCACCCACAGCACTCTCAAGCCCAGAAGTCTTCAAGCAGTCCAAACCTTTTATTTGAAAGCAAAACAAAATTAATTCTATGCCACAGAAATGAGTGTACAGATTAGTGATTTGGAAGATATCAGACGTTTAGAAGCACTGTTTGAATGCATTTATAAAATGTCATGTGCCATTCTGAAGGATGCTGAATTGCATCCCAGAAGGGGTTGTCACACTCATCCCTAATTTTAAACAGTAGACAAAAAACCCCCAAAACAAACCTAAATTAAAATATTGTTTGTGATATTAACACACGGTATAAAACCGAAAACGAATAAAAGCAAAATTTGCAAGTCAGCATCTGGCTCAGGAGCATGAGCGTCAACCAGAGGCAGAATAAATCAGAACTATTACCCAACAACAGATGGCTCTGGCTTGGAGCTGGAGCTCCACTTAGACGACAGTTTAAATAGACTAAGCAGACCTGAGACTGCTGGCAGAATGACTGGAAAAATATATCAGCCTGGAAAGAATACTTCAAATGAGATCCTTGCTTCAGCATTCTCATTTTTCTTTTGATCATCTCTGCAGTTCTGTGATACTGAAGCCAGATGAGATGGACAGATAGATATAGACACAGATACTACAAACCCAGCCACGAACACGTTACCTTAATTCAGTTAAGTCTCAACAACACATGGGCCTGCAATAAGGATTCTGGGGTTTCCTGTGTATCAGATCAGTGTTATCAGGGCTCCAGCAGGGATAACCAGCAGGGATAAGGCTTTAGAGCCTCATGTATCTCTAACCCTACAGCCAAATGACAATGGAAATCCTGTCCCACTGTGCTAGAATATTCCAAAAATACTGGTGCTCCTGCAGCTTCAGCCTCAGTCTATGATATGTGGTTTGGTACCCAAAGTCTCTCCTACCTAGATGCATGAAAATATGGAGACGTTTTAGCTTTCATTTTCTTTTTTTTTTGTTAAAAAATTGGTTTTAACTCTCATAGTTTTAAGGATGTAAACAAAACATCATCACTGCATACCATGAAGCTTCATTAAACAGAGGAAAAAATGCTAGGCATGGGTTTTTTTGATCTAATTTTGTTTCTTAAACTACCATCACCTCCAATCTGGACTCTTGGCTTTTAAATTAACAGAACTGGCAATAGTGCTTGTTTTGGCTTTTGCAATGCATATCCCATCAGCCACAGCACCTCCCAGGGAGCAGTCCTGCACCTCCTCCACTCCTGCCTCATTGTGAGACACAAACACGCAGGAATTAACCCTCGCAGTATGCCCACGACAGAGGAAAATATTCCAGGGACCGTCTGGAGGAGTGGGGCAGGCATTTCAGGGAAGCTCACGTGACACAGGACACAAAGGAGAGGATTTCCAGCCCCGCAAGGCGCTGCACTCTCAGCATGAGCTGTCCTTCCTCCTGTCCCAGGAGTTTCTCTCTGTCAAATCAATTCCCCTAGATTTTTCTTACCTTCTTAGCTGTTGTGCTTAGGTATGGATAAGTATTTTTCAAAAGGCTTTTCTGAGGCCTTAATTAAGGACTCTTGATTGAGACGTGCTTTGTTAGAGCATATTCAGCACACCTGCCTGTGTGAACACTGCTGGCCATGCTGCTGCCGAGGCTCGGGCCCCTCGGGGGGCTTGCAGCACGTACCCTGCAAAGTACAGATGTGATCCATGTGGGAGCCAAGGCTCCAGCAACACAGCCCCCGCCCCACTTCCCACAAAGACTTGGTCAACATGTCCCAGTGAGCCCTGCTCTTCATTAAGAGCTCCATCTCTGACAAACCTTTTGCAAAAACAAGTGACATTTGTTGCTTGAAAGCAATAAAAGCTCAGAGGAGACTGGATTAAAATACCAAAGGAGAACTTTAATGTGCTATTCTGGTAATTTGCCTTGATGAGGAGATTTGATCTTTACCATGGCCTTGGAGACCTGCTCTGTGCTAGAATGTTGCAACAAAGGCAGTGGCCAGAGCAGAGGGGGCAGCAGGAGCCAGGCGTGCCAAAGGGCACTCTGTCACTCTGTCCAGCAGCTTCCCAAGGCTTCTTACAGCAAACAAACACTGGAGCTGGACATTTTTTCATCTCCGTTTATGACTAAGAAGTCTCCCAGGGAATTGTGTGCCTCGACCTCTTCCAGCCTGAATCTTCCTGCTGTGGTTCCACATTACAGCTGCTGCCGACCCAGGCTGAGCTGATGCCTCAGGTTTGAGCTTTTATATTTTTCATATTCTGTGCTGCTTTAGTGTGTAGTTCTGAGCTTTCTCTCTTCACAGAGTAGCTAGAGAAAACAATTCCTTCCCTAGCTTGGGACAAGGAGAACCACCCAAAACTCAGGCCCAAGAGCACAAACAACATGGACTGAAGAGAGAAAAACGAGAAGGAGGGGACTGCTAACCCTAAAGCTGGAATTGGACAGTGAACTGCAAGATGCAAATGGAGCAGAACTGATCAAAGTGAGAGACCTCATGACTGTTTGTGCATTTTGTGACCATTTTGGTTCATTTTGGGCGCAGCCCTGGCTGGGCTCTTGTGCTGCCCAAGGTGGATCCACTGAGGCCTTTAACAAATCCCTGCTTTATTCTTTAGGTCTGTCCAGCCTCTGTTCCAGCTCAGCCTGCACAAGGCATCAGAGGAGCTCTCCACATCCCACGGAGGGGCTGTTTTTCTTTAATGGCACAACTTTTGGTAGTTTTCAACACCTCCTGACAGCTTAAAACCTTATCTGTTCACTATCTGACCACACCTAGTGAGTGACAGAAAACAAGTGCTTTTTTGATCATACCAAAATTGTGCATCAAATCCATGCACTTTTGACCCTGTTTTTTCTGAACATCTTCAGAGATTTTGAGTCTGACATGACACTGGACCCTCTTTACAGGTATGCTTTTCACAGTACAAAGAATGTGCAACAAAAATATGCTCTCCCAGGCCCAATACTGCATGCCACTTCAGAGGCTGATTCATAGTACCAATACTCCAAGGAGCTAGACTTCTTAAACCCCTGGGTTGGCAGAGCCCCTGAGCCAGCTTTTTTTTCCCCACAAACTACAGATTTGACACTTCTTTAAAATTTCAGGATCATTGT